CGAAAATCGGCCACTCGAAGGTTAGACCCCAACTCTCAACTAGCAACACACGTTGGAGAAAGAGGGCATACTTTTGACCTCCAGAGGACTACCATCTTAGGCCGAGGCAACACAAAAGCAGAACGGCTAACTCTCGAGGCGTGGTTCTCCGATGCCCACTCTATCAACAGGCGTCTGGACCTTCCTGCAGCTTACAAAATCCTACGTCATCACAATTGTAGAGTTCAGGACAAAAGTACCACACCGGACTTAAGAAGACCGTACGGAGATAGCCCGAAGCTAAGTTTACTCGGTGAGGAAGAAGAAGAACCGCCAGACCGACAGCCCGACTAAAGTCCAATCAGCTCCCCTCGACGGAGTGGTGACTCACAAAGCACACTGGCAAAACGCCCGTCAACCATCTCCCGAGAGACCGAGGCAGCGAGAAAAAAGAAACCTCGATCAGCATGAGGCCGGCCATCACAACATGCCACTTTAAATTAAATGGTAGGGGGCGCTTACCGATCGTTCATACGGAACTCACTCTTTCCGTTGTGCCTTAAGGGCTCTCTCTCTCGAGCCCAACCAGCAACCGCACAGCGGCGCATGATATATAGGAAGAATGGTATTACCGACAAAGACAAGGGAGACTGGAATGGCCATTTCTGGCTTATTAGCCGTCGTCAGCCAGCCATACCCAAGCCCGAAGTGTGGAACACCCGAGCCTCGAACTCGCGACCTGTTGGTTTAGAAGTCCACGCCTCTACCCACCGGGCCACGAGCCCGTTGCCCTGTCGGTTTTCGATCGGGAATATACAATGGTAGGGGGCGCTCACCGATCGTTCATACGGAATTCCCTGACTGACTGACGACGGCTAATAAGCCATAAATAGCCATTCTAGTCTCCCTTGTCTATGTCGGTAATACAACAGTGGACTTAAGAAGGTCATACGGAGACAGCTCGACAGCCAGTTCACTCGATGAATAAGAACAAGTATCGCCCGACCGACCACCCGACACTGGTTCAATCACCTCCTCCCGACGAAGCGGTGACTCACAAGGCTCGCAGACAAAACGCCCGTCAACCATCCCCCGAGAGGCCAAGGCAGCGAGAGAAGAGAAAAATCGATCAGCACGAGGCCGACCAACGTGATACGCCATTTGGGATTTCTGGTCGATTAAGTGCATTTTACGCTTTGACAATGGAGAGCCGACCAAGCTCTTCGAAACGTCAGCATTTAAATAAACCTGTTCCGGAGAGCCTATCTTCTTCTTCTCCTTCTTCTTCTTCTTCTTCTTCAAACTTCGCCTATCTCAGCAGAACTCTCTCTCTCAGCATCAAAATTGACAATAAGGTTGCCCACCGAATCTCCAGTCAGCCAGACCTTAGGCTGGTCACAGAACGCAGCATGGAATCGCTACAGCCTCCACCTCAACACAATACTCAAGATTTACAGAACGAATCATCTCGGCGACGCTGCTGTATGACGCAAACACCTGGACAGTATGCACGAAAACGGAGCGGAAGCTCAATCACTTCCACCCCAGCTGTCTTCGGACAATAGTAAAACTGAGATGGCTGGAGAGGACCTCGGACAAAAAAAGTTTTAAAACGAACCGGAATCCTCAACATCCACGTCATGCTGAGGCAACTGCAACTACGATGGACCAGCCACCTCATGACGATGGATGATGGGCGACTATCGAAACAACTCTCTAGCGGAAATGTCGTTGCGAGCGCAAGCCGAGAAAAAGGTCCCGCACACCACCTTGAATAATTCCTTAAAACAATTAGAAATCAAGTCGAGTATGTGGGAAGACACCTCACAGAATCGGCCGACCGGATAAGAGCAGTAAAATCTGGCGCAGTCACCTATGGAGCTGCTCATCATCGACGCTGCCAAAGCCAAACGGTATCTTCCAAGTCTTGGGGGTATCTGACCCGCAACGTCAAGATCCCGCCCCTCACAACATGCCCACGGTGTCAATGTTAATTCCGCG